TTTCTATTGGGTTAATCCTTGGGTGATAACAAATACTCATTCCAAGTTTTGTTAAAATCCTTCAAGAGTGACATTAAAATCTTTCAAGAGTGACGTCAAGCCTTCAACAGTATTTACGAGCAATTAAAGAGGAACGGACATGTGTGACGCCAATTTATGCTCCCAATTTCATGTTGGCATACAAACAGAGTTAAAAATTCTTTTACATTGAATAAAATTTATTCACAATTACAATGTAGTCAACAGGACACTACAAAAAATGATGACATAAATATGTACAAATATACAATGGACTTGAATTAATTTACATTGTGTAGGCATCGGTTAAAACATTCAACATATAATAAAACAATGGATAAAATTTATATATCTCTCAATACAAACTTATGAGATAACCAGATTCAAAGACCATTTTTTTAAATTCCATTTTTAAGTACACACTTCAGGATCAGTATACCGAAAACTATGGAATAACTTAACAATAAAATACATGTTTGCTTTATTGGAATAGAATTGATCTCTTTGAAATACACCTATGTCATATTGAAATGCTAGTAGACCACATAGAAACAAATCAATTTGAATGCAGGCCTGTTTTAAATAGGCCTACATGTATTTCAAAAAGATTTGAATATATGTTTTTTAATTTCAATGATATATTTTTGATATATCAACCTAACTGAAATACATTAGACCAGGTGGATATCAACTTAAATTACAATAAGTGTCTATCAACCTAACTGAAATTCGTTTCAATAGGTGTATATCAACCAAAATGAAACAGAGAACAATAGGTTTATATTTGAAATACAACAGATGTGTGTCAACCTTACTTAAATACATCGCAATAGGTGTATATCAACCTTACTGAAATACATTACAATAGATGTATATCAACCTAACTGAAATACGTAACAATAGGTGTATATCAACCTAACTGAAATACATTAGACCAGGTCGATATCAACTTAATTGAAATAATTTAGAACAAGTGTACATCAACTTAACTGAAATATATTACAATAGGTGTATATCAACCTAACTGAAATACATTAGACCAGGTGGACATCAACTTAATTGAAATAATTTAGAACAAGTGTACATCAACCTAACTGAAATACATTAGACCAGGTGGATATCAACTTAAATTACAATAAGTGTCTATCAACCTAACTGAAATTCGTTTCAATAGGTGTATATCAACCAAAATGAACAGAGAACAATAGGTTTATATCTGAAATACAACAGATGTGTGTCAACCTTACTGAAATACATCGCAATAGGTGTATATCAACCTTACTGAAATACATTACAATAGATGTATATCAACCTAACTGAAATACACTGCAACAGTTCTATATCAACCCAACTGACGTACATTACAATAAATGTTTATCTACCTTACTGAAATGCATTACAATAAATGTTTATCAAACTAACTGAAATTCGTCACAATCAGTGCATGTCAACCTCACTGAAATATATTACAATACGATTATACCAATTTAATCAATTTCTGAAAATTCAAAGAAAATGCATTGGAATTGCCAGGTGAAGAGGTAAAATATGAGAGTTATTCAGCATGTTAAAATAACTATTTTTATCAAAAGAGGATATTCATCTGCTTCTTATTATTAAGATGAATATCAACTACTGTAATACAATTTTTGGGGGTTTTTTTTCATATATTTTTTTAATAATAAAATTATGCTAATATAAATGGAAGCGTGAATAAGTTATGAATCAAGCAGCCAATCATCATACATGCACATTTGTGGGATTAATTTTACGATAAAGGACATATCAAGGTTTGGAAAAAACACTTGTTGTCTGAAGCAGCAAAAGCATTTAAGTACAATGAGAAACAACTCTATATAAGTCAGGCAAAACAACCGTGTCAATTCACTGCATCATTATATACAATGCAAC